TGCAGTAAATCAATGCAAGAGTTCTGATAAGATAAGGGGTATTAGATCATTATGAATAAATTTTATATTTTATTATATAAAGTTGTGCTTATAAATGTACATACCTCCCTCTGTAAAATGAATATAACCCTTGCACAATCTGTAGCATTAAAAAAAAGACAAATTGTTACATATAAGATCATTAGAAGCTTTATTTTTTTTAAAGTACTGCCCTAAAGAAGCTGCATTAATGATAATGAAGGATATTCCACATGACAAAATATATAATTTACACACACACACACACACACACACACACACACAAATCATATTAAAAAGATTGCATACCCTTGACAATATACAATATTAAGAACAAAAGTGTGGAAACTTTTAAACAGGATAATTCATGTAATTTCAGTTATTAGTCTTGTTGAATATATGTACATATCTTTTGTTAAATAGTTTAATAAGGACAGAATTTAATGAAACCGCAATTTTTATGTTCGCTTCTTTTTTCCACAAGGACTATGTAAACTTGTGAGCAGGACTGCAATATAAAAACATGTGAACCTCAATCAGTTTCTTTTTCTTACAGAGTTTTCACAGTGAAGCAATAAAAGAATCTCAAGTTGCATTAAAGAAACTGTCTTATCAAATCCTGAAGTCTATTTCAAGTCAGTATCATAAATAAGTCAAAAAAGAGAGGCCCGTGAGATGACAGATCTGTACTGTTCTCTGTTTTTTAACAATATGAAGAGGGTGGAAAAAATGGCTGAAAGACAAAAATAATTTAGGAGCTTGAGCAGATTTGAGCATCACACAATCCTTTAAAAATGTCTTTAAGTTAATGTCACTAGCAAATGCAAATGATCTGGGGGGGTGGGGGGCATAGTGATATAGTGAGTGATATAGTATAGTGGGGATATAGTTAGACAGGCTAGTTATTAAACTTTTTATACAGTCAGAAATTATCAATGTAGGTTTATTTTCTATAAAGACACAACACATTTGCTAACTAAATGTTTGAAGCCAACATACACAACTACTTCTAGAGAAGACACACATAAACATGCAAATTTGTGTAATTGGACTTCTGACTCAAAACCCTATAGTTACTGAAAGTCAGCCGTGTAACAACTACCTCCAGTCTACCCCTACTGTTGTTGTTCTTCTTGTAATATTCCTGTCCACTCCATTGCTATTCTGTTGTCTCTCACTGCTTCTCTCTCTCTCTCAAACCCAAAACAGTCTTTCTCTGTCTCTGCATTCCTTCGATGGCACTATCTTCACTGTTTTTCCCCAGCATGCCGAGGGTGCTGGCTTGTTCGGGTTAAGCACTCGGAGGACGACTGGCCCTGGGGACGTCATTTTCCATTACAGAGACAAGAAACCTTTTCTCTCAGATGAGGAAAAAGGGAAAAAGTCAGAGCCCTGAATTGGTTATGCTCCTTGTCGTGTTCTCTTACTCCCCCGACTCGCGATTCGTTTAGTCAATATTTAATGCCGGTGTTGTGCAGTACAGTTGTCTGTTGGCCCGATCCATGGGTTTGATCTCCATGTCTCTTCTGATTTTTCTCCAAGCTTATGGGCTTGTGCCGAGATGTGACACAGAGTCTAAAAATGTGGCACAAGCTTGTTAACGGTTAAACACTTTGCTCTGATGTGGTGCAAAGAAAGAGAAGGACATCAGACAGAAGGAGGAATAAAGAAAAAAAGCCAGATCCATTACATGCATTTAGCACAACTGCTCACTTTATCTGCATACAATCATGCACATCTCACCCTGCCTGCAGCAACTAACGCCCTCTATGCCCCACCTGTGTATAGATGTCAAGCGGCGTGAAGTGTAAAGGTGGTCTTTTTCTTCTTTAAGCAGGGCAGATGGGCAAGGTTTGGTCTGAGCCGGTGGCCAAGCCAGACTGTCTTAATTAGGAGCTGGCTGCTGCCAACGGCAGGTGAACACATCTGGCCATATTGGCCGCAAGCACAGCAGGTCTTGGAAATAGTGCAAGCCTTGGAATATTTGACGGGAGCAGAAACGAGTGATTCCCCTTTTTTTAACCCCCATACTACAACCCAAAAGTGAGCAGCAATACATCTACATGCCACAAAGTGTCAAGCTTCCACGCTGCGTGTGCCTGCCAGATATTAAAAGTCTCTGTCTTTGGAGGTTTGCGTTTGTTTTGCGTGCTGCCAAGGCCCAAGCAGCCCCAGAGTGCTATCAATTACACACATTCTGCTGAAAAGCTGAAATTCAGCTCTGAGCGCAGTCTGACAGGATTCAGCAGTATGTGCATGTCTGTGCGATGGCTATTGGACGTTCGCGTTTCCTTTGTCCCCTGTACCTGCCCTCCGCTGCCTTTGTTTGGAAAGAAGACGACACAATCACAGCGTGTCGCACTTAAAGCACCTTATAATGAAGTTGAGTCCTCCCCTCTTTGCAGACACACACACACACTATCAGGCATGTTCGCCCCACTGAGCTATACCTTCCTCATCAGTGCTTTATTCAACGTCATCATTTCTGCCTCTATAAACTCAATGGAGCTGCATGCCCCTCTCCTCCTCTCTCAAAGCACTCCCTTCCAATTACCGTGCCAGTTCATTTATTCATTAACCCTGCAAGGAAAATCGAGGGAGACCTAATTCAAAAACAACCGCCCTCCATTTCTCTCCATCTGGTGGGGAGGCTCGATTCTCCAAACACGTTCAAGAGACTTAATCTGGTTAAGGTGCAGTTTAGCATCTGCAGCGGAGTTTGGTGGGGGGATTGAGGAATGGATTGCCATGCCAGTCCATTTTCATTAAAAGCACATTCCAATGTCCAAACCGGTACAGGAAGTGACATGCATGGACTAATAAAAAAACTAGCGGATAAAAGGCAAGGCGCTGTTGTGCTTGATTACAGAGGCATTGACTAATTTACTTAATTTGTCAAAAAGGAATGTGGTTTGGAACTGAGGTAGAACTCATTTATAGTGATTTGAGTGGTAGCATGCTGGTGCACTTAAACGCTAAACGTGCTTTAGCTATTTGAAGCGTTGTATTTCCAAATGCCATTAGCAGAATTTGTTATCTCCAAAAATGGAGAGTAAAATGAAAGTTTGGGAAAAGTAAAAGTTGGGAAACGTAATTGCTTTGAGCCTTCCAGCTACAGCAACCAACATTCAATCTAAATTAAGTAAATATTGTAAAGCCAAATTAGGCATTGGACTATGAATGATTTACTACTTAAAATACATTCAACAAAAAAGGAATCTTTTCTACTTGTGCTGCAAAAAGTAGAATTTAGAATGTTTTTCTGTCAGGAATGTCACTCATGGAGTTCTAACATAGTCTTATTCACAAGCATAAGAGACAAATGGGTCAAAAATATTTTTAAGGTCCAATTCTCGCTATTAACAAACCATTAACTACTACTTTTGCTTCAATAAACTCCTAATTTGCTGCTTATTAATAGTTAGTAATGTAGTTGTTAAGTTTAGGTATTAGGTAGGATTAGGTACATAGAATATGGTCATGTTAATAAATGCTTTATAAGTGCTAATAAACAGCCAATATGTTAATGATAAGCATGCTAATAAGCAACTAGTTAATATTGAGAATTGGTCCCTATACTAAAGTGTTACCAGCAAATGGGACTTTACTGTAATACTTGGAGAAAGCAGTCCATTTCGTGCTTAAAAACATCTTAAACCAGCCTGAGCTTATTTACTGGTCTTGCTGGACTTACTTAGCACTTTTCAGCAGGTCAGGCTGGGACATCAAATGGCTATCCAGCTAAACACCAGCTTGGCCAGGCTGGAAGGACCAGCTTGGAACACCAGGAAACCAATTAAGGCTGGTCCCAAGGCCTTTACTAACAACTATCATGATCTGTGATATGAAGGAAAGGTGGAAAGGTGCAAATATCCCAATTTACACTTTTAAGGTACATCCAAAAAACCTACTAATGGCAAAAAATCTAATTAAATACAATGAAATTATTTAGTAATTATACATGGCTACTTATAAATGTCTCTCAAGGTTTTTGCCCACAGAACAGAGTAGTGCACTAGCATACGAGTAAGGGCTAGAAGGGCTGTGATAACTGAGATGCAAACTAGCAGATTTAACAATCTCATATTGTCAATTAATATTTCACGTAAAGTCAAGCAATATTTCTATTCATGTGTGGGAAAGAAATGTGTGAAATGTGTGAAATGAGAAAAGTTTGTTTTGCCATAAATTTAAGACAACCATAAAAAATAATGATCATATTGATATATGGGGAAAATCTCAACATTCTGACCAGAATCAAATGATGCTACATTCTCCCAGTAGACAACAGTTGAACTACATCCCAATTCTGAGGCTAAAGTTTTTGTTTGAAACGCGTCTGCACGCTCAATTGGGAAAGCAACGAAAAACAAGTTACCCTCAGAGATTTATACTTCTGATCCTCCAAATCCTTTTTTATCTTAATCAAGTATAAGGCAGTAAATTGCTCCAGCTCTGCCTCCTCCCTGTCCTTCACTGCCTGTATGCTAATATTGTTTGACATATTTCGGAGGAAGATGGGAGTATCAATGTTTATCAATTCCAAATAAGATCGAGGCACTGACACGCGCTAAGATTACAGTTTAATTAAAACTTGAGTAGCCAACTAATATTCAGTTCTTAAACAGACACATCATATGCCAATGCATTATCTACTCATTTAGATCTTGCATCATTGAGAAAAAAGGCAGAGAGGGAAATCAGGAAGGAGAACATGACATCCGGCTGTAAGATCATCCCCATTCCCTTTCTACTGCTGTTCTCTGTGCTTGGGCATAGCTGTCAGAGCAGAAGCTAAAATAAACCTAGCCACACTGGTCTGTATAAAAAATGGATACCTCTGGTTCAAGTCCTACCCAGCCAAAACACAACTGATGCCAAATTCCACCTGCCAGCAGGAGATCCTGAGGTGGCAAAGGGAGCAGAGAGGCAGTGCCAACCATGCCACCAATCTGGAAAACACAAAGAAGGCATCCACTTACCAGTCTTGTGACAAGGGGCACCCCGAAATGCCAGAAGTGATCGTTCAGTAGCCCACTATACACTACGTTTCCAAAGAGAGCAATGCTTCCCGTTTTACACAACCCGTTTCCTGGTTTGGTTTCTGCAGAAGGAGAAAAGAAAATTAAGAAATAGGGTTAAATAGCAATATTCAATGACTAGAAACTAATAATAATAACAATAAACGAGAAATGAAGATAGGAGAGAAGAAGTTCTAAATAAACAATTAAGGTATGATTAAAAGAAAGAATGGAAATAGGATGCAAGAAGGGAAGGAAGAGAAGAAGGAAAAACAAAGGGAGAGAACAAGTGAAAGAAAGAAAGAAAGAAAGAAAGAAAGAAAGAAAGAAAGAAAAAAAAAATGGAGAAAAAGTCAGAAGAGTGGAAGGAGAAAATGAAAGGAAGGAAGGAAGGAAAAAAACAAACAAAAGGAAGAATGGAAAGGAGGGAGGAAGGAAAAACAAAGGAAGTATTAAAGGACGGAAACAATGCTGGAAGGAAGGAAGGAAAAACAAAGAAAGGAAGGAAAAATTAAAAGCTATAGGAAAGGAAGGAATAAAAAGCAACAGGATAAAGGAAGGAAAACAAGGAAAGGAAGGAAGGAAGGAAGGAAGGAAGGAAGGAGAAATAAAGAAGGAAGCATGGAAGGGAGAAAAAAAAACAAAGCAAGTAAGAAATAAAAGAAAAATTAAAGATTGTATGAAGGATGGAAGGAAAGAAAGAAGAGGGAAAAAGTAGGACGGAAGGAAATTAGGATTTAAGGAACAAAGGGAAAAAAAGAAAATGAATGGAAAGAAAAAAAATAAGGATGGAAGGAGTGGAAAAACAAAACAAAATGAATGATTCCAAAAGTAAAGGACAAATATTTCTTTGACAATTTCAATATGTCACATCCATAAACACTCATCAGTCGGTGTGTGAGTGGCACGGTGTGAGGAGACGAGCTTGGCATGTGATCAACAGTGGGGTCACTCCTGCTTACACAAAAAAAGCAAACTAACAGCTGCATTCAACCTCCTTTGGGTAACATGCACTCACAATGATCAGTACTCACAAAGACAAAAAGAAAACATGACTCTGATATCACACACAAACACACCATACCACACAAAAAACCAGTTCAGCTTAAAAAAATCCCCATTCCCCCAGTCTGAATGTGGACTCAGAGAAGCACGTGCGAAGATTGCGATGTGTATTAAATTATTCCCTATAAATGCCAAGTACAGCAAAAATCTGCATTATGCCTCAAAACAATAGTGAAGCGCACCACAGCAAGCCATGCATTCATTATTGAAAAACAAAAAGTAAAAAGGCCCATTAAAATGTCACTTGTGCTCTTTGTGGCTGTGGCGACACATGCATTTTAGTGTTATAAATGGGCCTTGCGTTATTGTTTATGGTGGCTGCTAGCCGCAGGCTACCCGGCGGTGACTGTAAAGTCCACGGATCACACACCATGAGCCTCCGATGCCGCTCCCTCCCCCTCTATACATCACTCCATGAATATTCATGCCACAGGGCCGTGCTCCAGCCAATCGATCACAACTATAACGCATTTATATCCATGATACATGTGGCTGATTTTTTTGGTGTCTAGGAATAAAAAGATATGGCCTAATTAGCAATAAAACAGCCGCTTCGCCGTAGATTTGGAGGCCGAACGGCACTCCTGCTCTTTTCACAGGTGATGTAATTCATACAGTGGCGCGTTGCATCACAGGAACATGTCGTAAGGTGAGACTCGAGGCGGGGAGGGATGGCTGTCATCACGTTTGAGGCTTCCCTGCTGTCTGTTGGCACCGGTTGAAGCTCCTTTGGCATCCGTGGGCATGTTTCTCACCACGCCTCACCTGTGATTAATTATTGACGGTGAGATGAGGATGCGGTAAAGTAAGGCTGCACTGACATGCTACACTGCAGATACATTACAACAACCCCACAGGCTGCTTCCTTTTCCCTGGTTTTCCCTCATGCGCTTTGTCTTTAAAGCCCTCTTCTCACACTCTCTCTCTGACAACCTTTCCTAACTCTCTCTATCTCACTCTGCCCTGCAGTTTGGCAAATTTGACAAGAGCTTTAAAAACTGAGCGAAATGTCAAAGTTGTCATAAACAGTGTGTGAGAGGGAGTATTTTTGGTTTGATAAGGAGGCAATAACAGTTTGATTTAAGGCAGAAAAGAGTGTCATCACATCTAAATCTGCCATCAGAATATCTCTGTCCAGGGTTTGTCGGCGCGTCGCTGTTTAGTCATGCAGATGAATGGAGGAGTTTAGGTTGAAACTGAGACTGCATTATCTCGCATTTCTCTACAAGGATGACATTAAGTGCCCTAAACGGTCCTTGCTTGATCTGTGGGGAAGCACCTGGCTTTGAATCTCAAGTGAGATGTGCGAGTGGAGGATTCTAGGACCAGGATAACATGATAATAAGAGAAGAAACATAAAATAGAAATCTACATTATAACACAGCTCTATAAATGTGGAAATAAATCACTTTGCAATAGCTTTAACTGAAAAACAAATGCTCATGTATGAATTGCATTAAAAAAAAACAAATGATAGACCTCTTTTTCTCAGAACCAACTTTTCAAGTTCACACAGGTATCATGGCACAGTAAACATAGGTGCGTTCTCATATTACACAAACGTTTGTGTAAAATAACAATCTAAATTTTGATTGGTAAAATCCCAAGATATTTTTATTCTAGCCAGCGTTTTCTGCACCACTTTTCATTGGTGATGCAACACGCCCCACTGTTGAATATACAATCCAGAGGCAAGGTTTACAATCCGAGGTTTGCAATCTGAATTGAAAGTGAAGAGATAAAAAGGATGCATACTGCAAAATAATAGCAAGAAAACATAGTTGATTTGTCCTTTGTGTAATCAGATTCACAAACAGATTGATTTTTAATTAATCAAAAATACACAGCACACTTAGTGTAGTCTGATTCATGAACAAAGGTCTTTAAATTAATACTTAAGTCACCAGTAGGTGGGGTCATGTGATTGAGTGCATCATTGAATCATTCATTCAACTGTTTTGTTCAAATCGCTGATTCATCTGGGAGCGAAATATATGACTGTCCTGCTGTATAAAAGCACTCACAATCTTGATGTATTTTTCTAAATATCAGCACAGCTATGATTATTTGTGTTGCTTGTATAAGCAAAATGATTTCTAGAAGTTGTAAATAAACAAAGATTTGTAGAACATTTTACAAAAAATACTTCAATCTTTCTGCTGTACTTCAAAATGTAGTGTTTAATTCAATGTGTTACTTGCCATTTCTTTGTAAGTCACCAGTAGGTGGGGTCATGTGATTGAGTGCATCATTGAATCATTCATTCAACTGTTTTGTTCAAATCGCTGATTCATCTGGGAGCGAAATATATGACTGTCCTGCTGTATAAAAGCACTCACAATCTTGATGTATTTTTCTAAATATCAGCACAGCTATGATTATTTGTGTTGCTTGTATAAGCAAAATGATTTCTAGAAGTTGTAAATAAAACAAAGATTTGTAGAACATTTTACAAAAAATACTTCAATCTTTCTGCTGTACTTCAAAATGTAATGTTTAATTCAATGTGTTACTTGCCATTTCTTTGTAATTTTTTGTTTCAAAGTAAATCCTATTTTTTTCAATGTAAAGCTTATTTTAATCTTTAGTTTTTTTGGTTGTGTTGATCTGTTAAATAAACAGCATTGTAACACCATAGTTTGGGCCCTCTTGTTCATTTCGAAAATTTATATTTGAATGTACCAAATGAAAAGGTTCCATTTATAATTGACAGCAATAGCTAAAAGAGAAATGTTCATATTATCAAAATGGACATTAGAACTTAAATATAAATTAACAAAATAACAGAAAATTAATCAAATAGTGAAGATCCACTAACATTTAACAACCAGAATGTGTCCAAATATCTACATATGTATTGCGTTTTAGAATTGGAAACAATGTTTTGCTTGAGAAGTGTGCTTGCAGTATCTTTCTCTAAAACGGATGACACATGGTTTGATATTTTGCTGTGCCCAAATACGTTTAGGAGCCACTGTACAAAATTAACTACCCACAACACTGCAAAATATATCAAAATCTTGGTCTTGTTATTGCCAAGAGAGCAGCAGGGATGACATAATGTCTGCCTTCTTCCGGCTGGAAGCTTCCTCCCACAAGCCCTCTGGCTCTGGCAGTGGCCATCCTGTCCTGGGCCTGTGCTTCCATTAGCCACACTGACCTGGATTTGTTCTGGCATCGCTCCGATACTAGACTGGTGGACTTGGCCCTTCCTCTCAGCGGGGCAGCTCTGTCAGGACCTCTGTCCAACCCAAACACACCAGCCACACCAGCCTGTCCATATGGCAATCCCATCCTGCCTGTTTCTGGGCCAGAGCCTGATTCACAAGGGCTGGAGAAAAAGAAGTCCTCTTTTTCCAGAGCCCTCTCCAGGGCATCACAACGCCTCTCCAAACGATGTATTCATTACCCCTCCTCTATCCCGGGGGATGCTCAAAAGCCTTGTTTCAGAGCGGGGAGTGTGGCTGTGTCTGTTTAAACACTGCTCCAGTCCTACTTAATCATGTGCAGTTGGAGGGGCAGTCCATGCCGGCACTCTGATTAATACAGCATGAAGCTGTAGCGGCAGACATAGCTGCATGTTAATACATACAGATACATTTTGCACTATTTTTGCAGATTTTGTTTTACAGTGTATACATTTATATATAAAATATTATGTTGGACAGTGGAGGATTAATGTTGAGAACCATTGATATACACACACATATATATATATTTATGTGTTCATTATTTAAAAGGAATCCATGGCTGCAATAGAGTACTGAGAAAAAACATGGAAAATCAAATGACTGTTCCACGGCACAGAGCTAATACAATGCTGGTAGTCTGGATGTATGTACATTGAGATTTGACTTATCTGTATAAAACCCAGAAAAGGCGGGGGAGAGACTTTTTGCACTTGAGCGCGCTATTGACGAGAACACTAAATAAATACAATGTCATCAGCCGAGTCTGTTTAAACACTGCTCCAGTCCTACTTAATCATGTGCAGTTGGAGGGGCAGTCCATGCCGGCA